ACAGAAACAAGGTGTTCTTTCTTGAGAAAGGCTTCCCTCATCGATGTTTCAAGTCAAATCAGATGGTCCATGGTGGAGCGCTGTCAATGGAACCCACACTGGGTGGTCGAGAGGAGCATGTTCGATTCCAGGAACCAAACAAGACGAGCATTAACCATCCTCTCTAGGACCTTACAAAGACAACTAGTCAAAGTGATGGGACGATAAATAGAAGGAATCTTGGGATCCTTCCCAGGTTTAGAGAAAAGGAGGACAATAGCCTGGCACCAAGCATCAGAAAAAATATGCTCCTGCCAGATCTGGTTACAAATAACCAGAAGAATAGCAAGAGAGGCAGGAGAGATATGGCACAACATCTCATAATGAACATCATCAGGTCCAACCGATATACTACCAGACCGATGAAGAGCAAGTTTGAGTTCCACCAGTGTAAAGGGGCAATTATAATCATACAGACGATCAGACCGAAAGGAAAGAGGTGATCACTCTGCCCGAGAGTTTATGGCCAAGAAGGCTAGAAGTGCTAGAAGCATGAGAAAAGCTTTGGCCGAGAGCATCAGCAATGCTCTGGACATCAGCAACTTCCTGGCCATTGGAGAGCAAGATGGAAAGGGGATGGGAAGCACACCTCTCAGTGACTTTCTGAATCTTGTCCCATACAGTTTTGGAACTGGTGGTAGAAGAGATGCTAGTAGTGAACTTAATCCAAGACTCCTTTTGGCTTTGACATCGAACCTGCTGAGCGTGGGCACGGGCCCGCTGATAAACAATGCGGTTAGAAAGAGAGGGATATCATTGGAAGGTATCCCAGGCCCATTTTTGAGCCTTCTGTGCCTCCTGGCAGGCAGGACTCCACCATGGACGAGGATACCGTGGAAAATGTGTCGAGGTCTTAGGAATAAAATGAGCAGATGCCTGGACAATACAGTCAGTCACTGCAACCACACGAAGGCAGGATCAAGTTCAGAGAGAGGTGAAAGATGGCTAGTAAGCCTGGTCCAGCTTCCACCATGGCACTCTGGTCAGGTGGCATCGACCATGGCCAAACTCCCTCATAATGATAGGAAAATGATCACTGTCGACCATCCAAGAAAAGCATGTGAAAAGTGAAGGGGAGCAA